CACCGACATCAAGTTTACAATCGAACAGGAGTCAAATAACCAACTAGCATTCTTGGATATATTGATCACTAGAACTGATTCAGGAAAACTGGAAACGCAAGTATATGGGAAACCGACCCATACAGATCAAATCCTCAGCTACAACAGCAACAACCCAAGAGCTCACAAAATCAACTGCGTACACACTTTGTTCGAAAGAGCAAGGACACTGGCAGCACGATAAAATGAAGAGAAATACCAGAAGGACATATTTCAAAAGAACGGCTACCCAATCAACTTCATCAAAAAGCACCAACGGCACACAGCATCAGAACCCAAATCAAGCACAAAAATCAACCAAAGGATCACCCTACCATATATACAAGGAATATCAGAAACCGCAACAAGACTGCTGAAAACCTTCGGAGTAGATGTAGCACACAAACCGACAGAATCACTACAATCAATCCTATGCAAACCAAAAGATGAAATAACAAAGGAAAACAAATCAAACATCATCTAAAAAATAAATTGTGCCAACTGCGAGAAACATTACATCGGACAAAGCGAACGCCCCCTTCACCTGCGCATACATGAACATCAATTAGCAGTCAAACGGCATGATATCTCCTCACTAATATCAATACACGTGGACAACTGCGGACATTCATTCGATTGGAAAAATGTGGAAATCTTAGACAGAGGAAACTCCAAAAACACAAGAGAATTTTTAGAAGCCTGGCACTCAGGTCAATCAGCAATCAACAAACATATTGAAATCAATCCAATTTATCAACCAATCAGAAAAATCATGCACAGACATAAGAACAAAAATCAAACCAATGGGAGACACAACCAAAACAAAGAAGTAAACAATGATAAATTTAAGGTCAACAAGAACCAATCAACATCGAGGTGCACAGAACAAGCTGTGAAACGCATATGGAGAAATTCGAACAATTCACTTCTATCTGAAGTTTGTGCTGATGATGTCGTTCAGAAGAACGATGAAAGCTCCACGACCAAACCATCCAGCTCAGAGAACAAAACTCTACCAAAATCATCCACCTGAGCTACAAATCTTCTCCATTATCTCAAGCACCAACTTCAGCGTGTCAGGAGTTGCTGTGCCACAAACGGCGTCATCATAAGCAGTGGATCTCAATGGAAATCCTGAACAAGATTCGAGAAGGGAAGAACAAAAAGACAGCAATTGACAATAGCCGAACAAGAACAGAGAAAGGCAGGACACAAGCTAAATAAATAGAAGCAAGCGAACAAGTGATGATTAGCATCGGAGCTGGCAATAAGAAATACGTGTATGGAAAGTTTGCACTTGATACAAATGATGATGATTCGCCCGACCCTGACGTAAATAGGTCACGTCAAAACAAAATTTTAGTCGAGAACCGGATATATTTGTCCAATAACAGCAACAAGAAAATGGATGAGCACACAAAACAGAGTAATACGGACAGTAAATGATTAAAATCTGAAAAAATACGATATGGAAAAGTTCGATTTAGATCTAAAAAGTACTTCTTCATACAGCATGACAACCCACACCAGTTTATTCAAGACAAAATTTTGTTGTCTGGAGTACGATTCCTTTAAAACCTAACCAAATATTCAAGGACATTATCAGCATCAATAACGTATAAACTGCAACGGCAATCGCCACAAAAAAAATATATGCAAGGGGAGATTTTCGCAAATGCTTGTGCAACAATGTATAAAAACATATAAAAGTGATAAGCTTTTTACTGAAACGCTTATTGCTGTCTTCCTCTCTACCTTCTATGACTTCATTCTACTTATACACATCAATTGAAATGGTGTAGAAAAAGAGCGAAATGAGTAGGGGCTATGAACTAGACTTCAAAACTTGCCTGAAACATACAGTTTTTAGGACTGTATTTAATGAACTAGGTAACAACGTTGTTGAGACGGTTTTATATAACAGTATATGTGATCAGATTGTTCAAAATGTATTGCACACATATATCACATAAATTTGACAACTTTTCCTTCTCATTGCATCATCGAAATGCCTAACTGTTAATACGAGACATCGAGTCCACATTCATAAGACAACTTGTCAGTAAATGTGACAAATTTAGATGAAGCGGTGCAGAAACGAACCGCCAAGGGTGGTCCACGTTATCTAGGTTTTGGTTATTATATGTTATTTGGCCTGTATCAGCCATAATTAGGTGGCTATGAGTTAGTCGATAACCTCCGGTTGAAGCTGAACATTATATACAGCATTTGGTTATTTACATTTTATTGTTTGTACGCGTTATTTATAATAAGGTATGCACATCTAAATAGTCAAACCTTATGTTCGAAATGTGTCCTGTATTGTGCAAAATGTAAGGTCGATTTTCTAGGCTTTCTAAATTTATCATCTAATGAAAGACCAAAGGCTAGTTCGAAAATCTCCCTGAAGTATAACTACGATGGCATTTTTAAAACTGATATTTCCTCACTGGTCTTCGTTATTAATTGATTAGCTGTTATTACTGTTGTCACATCACCGGCTATTACGATATAAACAGAATTGTTCCACTTCGAGTTTCACCTTCTTTTAGGGGTACTAAGCCGTCCTGAATAACACACGTCTAATAGCGTGTACATTATCGCCATCGAAGTGCTTTTTTATGACAGTCATCGGGTCTAAGAATTAATGGAAAGTGATTATCTAATAAAATTAATTAAAGGGTGGAATGGTCTTATTATGGCGAAACCTATAACAATTCTGGTGCCAAAAGCTTGTGGATCACCAACGCAGGTGATTTATGTCGAATGATTGTGGGCCTACTTCACTTTCACGGGAATGGTGTGATCACCAGCTAACTTTGGAGTCACACCCCACGGTCAGCACCTAACATGGATATCCCTTGGACATATCAAGGTACTATGGCTGCTTTGAAGACTGAACAACACGAAGGACGTTATTACAGAAATGGATTAGTAAAAGTATGTACAAGGGATAAGTTGAGACCATCAGTGCATGGCCGGTCTATGGCGTGCAACTTATTGACGCGCTTTGGTTGTTCCTGACCCTGACGCGGATCGATAAACTGCTCGACAGTCAGTGACCCAACTTCCGGATGATTTGGCTGGGGCTCAGTGACATCTCGCTGGTCCTACAAGCTTCTGTTCATGCGTCCACCTATCGATAGGCGATTCATATAGTTTTGTGTTGAAATTAGTTCGTAGTCAAATGTACAAAACTTCAACGTAATGTGAAAGATTGCAATAAATCTTTCTGTGTCTACCGCTTTGCGTGTGTCTAGCCACATGCGCATAGGAAGGAGTCAACCTGATTTGTAGGTTTGGCTTTCAAAGCACGTCAAAATGGCTACAGAAACAAGTAATATCAAATGACCCAAAAAGTTAAGCTGATAAACGTCTGTCTCCCTTTATTGGTAAAAACAAGGTTGATGAGGGTCATAAGATCGATTTTAACTCAGTCTTTGTGGTTTTGCGCAAAGACTATTTAGGACGGATAAGACGGTTATGTCAAAAAAGAGCTCAAGTATTCATTGACTTCCTTATTTTGTATGGGCACAATATTTCCCATTATCGTGTGTTGAATGTTGGAAAGCTTTGTGTGTTTGAACGAGTAGCCTCTCACTCCACAGTGTGTTGTTTCACGAGCTAAATAAAGGCATATTCACTACTAGTCTGGTTTCTTCTATCAATAGAACTAGGGGTGCTGGAACGGAAGACTAACTAAGGGCTACGTAGCAGTGTAAAAAATTGAAACTATAATTTACGGTTTGTGGTCAGGATTAGGAGCTAGATTTAGGGCTTTCATCGTGAAGTGGCATCAGCTAAAATGCCAAGATGTCATTTAGTCGAATGGATGAATGAATTCAGCTCCAAAATCCTTATCCTGATATTCTGAATCTGATTGGTTTGTTCATAATTTATAGTCTCGTCCATTTCATAAGTACTGAAGAACACTGATCTTGACGTTATATAATATCAGTTTCATCGATCCCTTATATGTCCCAAACCTGCACAATAATACGGACCACTTTCGAAACAATGTACTGAGGTGGATTATTCCACAAGCCTTCTCGTAGCTATTACCACAAAATAAACTTTGAAATCCACAACGCCGTTGAACCCCTCTTTTCAGAAGAGACATAAATCTCTTGGATCAAGTACAGAGATGGGAAACGAAGTGGCTGTAAGGTCTAAAACACAAATCTTATTTAGACAGAATCCAGCACATGGAATAATTCTGGCTAATCTACAGGGGACTAGGAGGCGATCTGAATATGACATACTACATATTAATTACACCAAACCACCTCAACGCGAGCATATCACCAAAAAATTATCATTATGCTCCCCGAGACAACCCTCGAGAAATAGCTCATGCAAGAGCAAACATCAAAGTTCACTTTTGCTTTATATCACCGAGAGCTACCTCCATTTGGAGTGCCCTTCAAACCGAAGTGACAACAGCCCTCTCAGTTGATACATTGACTAACATATACTCACCAAAGATTACCATTTCCCTCTTGAATCAGTTGTAGCTAATACGTGTCTCACAAATGAACACAGTGATTGTTTCCTCTTTCTCTCATTACCATCTCCGTTCCCCTCCTATTCTTTTAATTCTGTCTTAAACATTATTAAGTAAATTAATTAATTATTTTTGAGACAAACGTCTTCTAATAGCACTCACATTATCACATTATTATTTGCACATTCTAACCGACCAACCTCCTGGATGGTAATACGATAGCCGACGGTTTCTAGAAACCTTACTTCCCTGAGTCAAACACACTCATTCGAATTACAGGATATACAAACCCACAAATAACTACCAAATGCAGTAGATTTGACGGAGTCGGGGGGCTAGAAGATTACTCATTAAGCATAACCAAATACATGGAACAGTACTAAAGCAAACAGAAGCAAGAGCAAAGAAATCAAATGCTTTATACAAGCTCATGATAAAAATATTGAATATTGGGCCCGCGCGGTTGTTGGCGTCCCTCAGAGATTGTGGTGGTATGTCTCGTGGTGAGTGTATTGTTTTGAGTGTTGCGAAACGTACTTCTCCGAAACATAGTATGAAGTGTCAAAAGTAATATTTAGTGATATTTGGTTCATATTCCGGGCTAAAAGCGCATGCTTTTGGAGTTTCCAATTTTATCAATCGACTAATCACTCGAGCGACCTAGCTGACTTAAGTAACTAATTAGTGACTAAGTTAAAGTATACTACCAAATCATTTAAAAACGAGCTAGAATCAGGTGTTTGGACTAAAGCCAACATCATGAATTGGCGCCAGCCGTATTTCAGGGTTTTTAAAGTTAAGTCCTAACTGCGAGTGTGATATTTATCACACTAGGAAGTGAGTGACCTAGGTCTCTCATACGTTTGGTGTATCCTGATTGACCAAAGTAACTGGTACAAGGTCTTTTGGCAGTTATCACAATAATTTCGTCTGTGTCGTTGAAATGAATTCGTACTCATGATAACTAATATCATTAGCCGGATTTCACTGTAATCACTTTGAGAATTTATCTATAGTTTTGATGCCAAGCAGTACGTTTAACATAAGAAGCAAACTAAGTTTGTTGCTGGGTGCTGTCATTGCACACGAAAGTTATTTATTCCTCACCAAATAAGACAACTCAAATGTGCTGTTCAGTCGTCTGCCTTATTTTTAAAAAAATTAAAATGAATACAATTCGGTACAACTAACTCATGATTATTAGATCCCGAGCTGCACGTTGCTTGCAAGTCTAGTTCGACCAACTGTGTTTTTTTAGTTTGACTTACAAACGCAGCTTTGCATATCCCGTTACATGCTGTTCATAGCCATCTACCAGTTAACATTGTAGACTAGGAATAAAGGGATGGTTGTCGTTCCAAAACACACCATTAGCTTTAATCAGTTATAAGCAGTATAAACTTTGGCACATCTGTCTGTCGATTTAAACTACCACAACATAATACAGCTGTATGAAGTTATCGGTCTGAGCTGTGCAAACTTACTATCCGAATCCCTCTGAGAAGTTGATAAGGCATGCCCAGAGTAGATTAAAACTAGCTGTTGCGTTCAAACTCAACCTGGTAGTATCACCAGTTTCCACAAGAAGTATGACTTAAAGTCGAATACACAAACTTGTGTTTGGTAGTTTTTAGTATCGTACACGTTTGTACACTAAGCTGTAAATCATATCTGCTTCAAGGACATGGTAAGTATTACTTATTCTTATGAGGAAATGATTATATTTAACCTAATGGATGAGAACCGTCAAGTCACTTTCGCTTAATGTGACAACTTATTTAGACTATTAGGGCTAGAACACTTGTTCCTTGAAATGCTACTATTCCAGTTTGGTTCGTCGGGGGGAGGTAAGACGAAGGGCAGCGTATGTTAAGCCTGGGGGTGGATTTATGTTTCTCCCGTGATGTTACTTTCTCAGGGATGGATGATGAGGCTGGAAAAGATCAGTTTACAAATAAGGACACCTCATCCTGAGTTATTTTTGTAGTGTTGATAAGACCTGTAAAGTACTGAGTACCCCTTACAAAACGATTCTGTGTGATCAAGATTATGTAATTGTCCTTTGGATTTGCAGTCACTCTCTTAGATCAATATGACTTTCAAAGAGAACGCAGTCCTATCCCCAGGTTTCACAAGAAATATTTTCCCGCCATGTGGGGAACTAAATCTTTTCTGCTGTCTGTGAGTCCATTGCAATCAAGTTAATCTTGTTCAAAATAACTATCCCTTTACAACCGCTTAATATTTATTCTATTGAGATCATCAACCAGTGACACAGCTATAATGTACAGATATCTATCGAAAGTTGGGAATACTTCCCGGTAATCCTCTCATTAATTCCTAGCTGTGCAACATGGTATATACAAGTAGAAGACACATGTTGTTAGTAGCTGTGTCTTCGTATCATTATTGTTATGTTGTGGAACCATGAAACAAGCAATACAGGGTGTTGTAGTTTTAGGTCGATGTGGTAAATCGATTAATGATACTATGTATTTCCATATGTTATAGTAGTTAAGGTATATTTCAGTTTTTAGTTCTTTTATTGTACTAATGTGTATTATGGCTACATAGGTCGGTATATCTTTTTTCCAGATCCCGAGTTGTTAATAGTTGGCTGATAATTTTTATTGTTGGTCGTAAACTTTTTAGTATGCAATAAGGGGAATGCAAACTTAAGTGAATCAGCTTATCTTAAAATGTCCTAGACGTTTTGCTTAAATGAAATTGGCAAGGTAGCAGAATAACGTCGTGTATCATTTTATGATAGATAAGTACTATGCTCTCTTGAAATTCCCTAAGTTATATGTTATGGTGGGAAAAGAAGTAAACCTGATAGTTAGGTCTTGAGTAACCCCCAAAACCTGGGCCTCCTAGACGCTTGTGTTTCAGTCTCATTCTAATCATTTTAGCAGTTATTTTGTTCACAAGCATGTAATTTTATTAAAGAAACCTACCAACATGTCCACTGGTCTTGTTTTTAATCCTACTTTATTAGACGTGTCGGCGTTAATAATTCGGTTTCGTGAATATTTATCACTTGACCTCCCTTAAACGCACTAGTACGGCTAAGGGTGGGTAGCCCTGGAAATGCTCTCATATGGCCACGTGTATATACCCACTACCAGGGAAGTACTACTCACTGCCTTCGCTCAGTGGGGTTGTTTGCGAAATTTTGAGGACAAAAAGTGAATGTCCGGTGCCTAAGCCGGGTTGGTGGATATGGAGGATCCACTTAAAGGAGTTGGAAAACCCTGATTCCAAACCAACGGCGCACATGAGCTCGGCGATCTTGAGGGAACAAATGGTTTGTAAACTCATTGTCAATCACCAGCTACCATGGGACTGCATCTCCTAACGTTGCGCCACCATTTTGTGGATTAGACCTCTGAGTTAAAGATTAATGGAGTGTACCTCTAAGAAAACCACCTGCTTGGGGAAGTCAACATCTTCGTTCATAATAATCTTTAAACATCGATAACGTGTATTGAACAATGAGGAGTTATCTCTAAGCTGTTAGCTTAATGACTGAACAGTGTCAGAAAATGAGCGATCATGTGTATTCTGAGGCAAAATCAAATTGTCGTACCTACGTAACTCACTTTGACCGAATTTCCGAAGTAGAAAGAGAACCTTCCAAGCACAATCTTGATTGGTGAAATGGAATTTAAATAGATCCTCGTAACGCTGTAATCACATGTGAAAAGTGACGTTAGCACAGGTATGGTAGTTAAATTCAGCAATACTGTGATGCCATCATTCGAGAGCACAGTAGCAGAATTCGATGTGTGATGTAGGCGCAGTTTTCGTATCTGGGTAAGTTTCAGCTGCTGCCTCAGCAATAATCCCACTTTTGCAGGATCCATGCTTGTACTATCCCCGTCGCCGTTGCTACGTTTGAAGAGATTGCGATATCACCTAAAACTGGCGAATGGAAACCTATTGTCAGAGTTTGTTGTCTTCTCCACGTTTATCAATCCAGTCACAACTATTGTGTGGTAACTCATTTTTTTTACTTTTATTAAGAAACATCATTGCCAACCAAAAACAATCAGTAAGGCCTCCGGTATCAACTACCTATTTATATTGATTATTTAAAGTTCAAGAGATGAAGGAAATTCTATAGATTCCTGTCTGTCAATAAATTCTATTGTATAAATTTACTCTCCAAGTGTCCGAATCAAGATAAAATTAAGCCCAAAACTCAAGTCCCTGATAAGAAATCGTTTCACTTGAACCTATACTTATCTGAATTTCTGCATAACTGTCTACGTCAAATTTTCTTGTTTTTTTTTAAAAAGACATTTTCAATTTTTCAGGTTGGAAAATCATTGTAAAAGCGGAATTGTGACTCTTAATGAGTATTGGTTACACGTTCCTGTGACATGAATGGTGTGAAGCGTTCATTTAAGCTATCCACATTCTTAATTTCTACTGGGATTCCTTCATTTGACGAATTACTTGGTAAGGCTCTTTTAAACTAGTATCATCAATATTTTCAGGTGGTGGTGTGACCTCAGGAAGTATAGTTCTTATCGGTACGGTATACTAAGTGTTATTAATTTCAATTCTGATTTAAAGAGCCAGATTTTCACCAAACATATGCAAAACTGCTCTTAAATTTGTTCGTAGCAGAAGGTATATTATCGGGTCATAGTATATTCTATGGTGCAACGGAAACATTTGAAAATTTACTATGTGTAGAAATAATTTAAAATATAGTCCAACATGATATCTCTGTAATATTTTAGAAATTACCAGATCATATGACTTCTACAAATGAGATCAAAGAAGAAATTTCAGATCTTAAAATCGCTTGGCGTTATCAAAATGTCCCAAACACCAAGGTTTCAATCATTATTCTAATTCTTACATAACCCTTTACTTCCAGAATGTAAATTCATCTGTATCGAGTTTAGGGCATCATTTCAATATAACCATACCCATGAATGCAACTGCTCGAATATCTGAGAAAAATGTGTCAACTTGTTATTTTCAACCGGATAGTAAAAAAACGTAATAATTATTTAATGCTAAAGTTTCTCATTTCATTGTTATAGATTGCATACCAATCTCTTCAGTTTAATTCAAAAATTAATTATTTTTCGATCAAACACAAAAGTGTCTTCAGGTATACAACGGATAGGTTTGTTTTTTGCTGTTCATTCATCTATAGCATTCGAAATACTTTATCCTTAGTGATAAACTCATGCGGCTCTCCTATGTGGGGTTATTGCAAAGATACTCAACAGTTCTACAGGAATATGCTTAATTTCTTTGCTACATTACGCCTGCTAATTCAAAACAGTCACTGTACAGTTTTTGTCACGTTACCTACAATGAAGGTGAGATTCTGCTTAAGATTTTTCATTATTTGTTCTGTCTTATAATGTAATATTTATTGACTGAGTTTAATTCCATATTTTACATTCTTTTTACTATTACGGAGGTGTCGAGTAAGGTTACCAAATGAAACCATGCTAGTCCATCAAAACAAATATTATGAAATCAGAATATTTCTTGCTCAAATCGCTCTTAATGCTGTCGATGTAAAATGTGCCAGCTTAGATCAATAAACATTCGTCTCAAACTGAGTGTATTTTTATGACTACTGACTTGTTAACAAATACTCATATATATTGTAGACTTATGAGTTGTCATTTACATTAAGCAAGGGAAAACAAATGTTGTCTCATTTAATAATAAGTGAGACAACTCAGATTTATCTGTTTAATTCTTCAAAAGTTCTACGTTTTATGGATTGAGTTAGTAACTAAGTCATCAGTTAGTATTCTAGCAATAAACCTTACAAAACAGACGGTATATTTCAATAATCTTAACATAACAAATCTTTTGAACTTTCTTTTTTCATTTACCTAATCTTCATTTAACATCACTATTTAAATTGATTACTATTTTCAAGTTCTATATTTGTCTCTACTCAATCAAATCACCTCTCAAAATACAAATATTTAAGCTTTGAATGTTTGTCAATTTTTAATCGAATAGTGTTATGGAGGATGATTTTGAATGAGTTAATTTAATAGTCTACTTATTGTATTCGTTAAAATAATGAGTGTCAGTATGATGTGGCAGATTGATAACCTCTCATGTGGGTGAATTATTGGGATATATACCCTGAATGAGTCGATTTCAATAGACAACTCAACCGAACAACAGAACAAGGTTTTTCTAGGATAGTGACAGGCTTATATACTGGGTAAATGTAAATAAATGTCACTCAACAAACAAGTATTTGGGAAATATTATTTTTGTGGGTCACTTACCAATCAAATAAGACTTGCCCCCAAATGCTCTGGTACGGCCGAGAGTGGGGAGAGTCTTCTCTCCCCCTCGAAATGCTCTCACACGGCCACGCGTATATAGCCTCTGCCAGGGAAGTCCTACGAACTGCCTTTTCGTGGCGGGGGTGTTGTTTACGAAATTGAGAGGACGAAAAGCGAATGTCCGGCGCTTTAACCAGATTCCAAATCAATGGTGCACATGGGCTTCAGTATCCTGTGGGAACAAATGGCGTATGAACCAATTGTTGGTCACCGGCTACCATGGGACTGCATCTCTTTACGATGCCCCACTGCCTTGTGGATCAGACCTTCAGGTCGAAGGCTCGGGGAATGGCCCCCTAAGAAAATCACCTGTTTCGGTTTGGGCACCCAGGCAGTATCACAGCCCTCGCACAAATCGAATGATTTATGTGGCTCATATGTATTTGGTGCCTCCTTGTACGAATATCTGTGTTAAAATAAAATAAAATAAAAACAAATAAGACTTAACCATCAGGGTTGATTCATGTTCATTATATCAGTAGGCCGTTTTACCAATTATGGACCAAAACATAAAAGTAACACGAAATCTCTCACTGTTTGTTCATCTAAACTCATTTAACTGGTTTTATAACTATCCAATTAATCCTATATTTGTTTGCCTATCCAATGACCAATCATGGCGTTGCACGCAAAGCGATAAAATTAACTGAGTACTAAACAGGTATTTGATCATCAGTATTTTTCGAGCCCTCTTTATGTGTAGTATAATCATCGGCTAAAAATGTCAAATTTTACTATAATAGAAGAATGAGTCAGTCAGATTATAAATCTTTACAGAATAAAGCAGATGTAATGTATTATGTACGCTGAACCACTGCTTAATGAAATGTGTTGTAATGATTAATAAGCGATAGTTTAGTAGATAAAGCACTCGACTGATTTGGGTGGTATCACTAGCTCTCGCGCTGTCTTTGTATGTAGATATACGTACACGTACTCAGTAAATGAGATGATTAGTGAACGAGTCGACTGGGAAGAGATGGTAATCAGATAATGGTACTTATCTATGAAATCATTGAATATCGGTTTCAGTTATATAAAAAGAGGTCAGATTACGTGAATGAAACTGCTAAAATTTTGAAAACTATCGGTTGAAAACTGTGATTTATATTACAATCAGTAACTCATATGCGTTCATTATCTGTGTTAGTAAATCATAGAAATTTAGTTTACATCTGTATTTGTAATTAATTTTACTAAGCATTGTTAACAAACATAAAATAATATACTCAAACATTTCAATTTGTTATTCTATCAAGCTGTGTGTTGATAGTAAATGAAAAATCTAATCATATCCAACTGATTCCATGTTAATTCGTGTTTTGTTTATTTAACATGTTCTTCGTTTAGCTACCGCCTGGTCTATTGACTCGTCTATCCCATTACTGTGATTATATGTTTCGAGTACAAGGACTGCGTGACCAGATACAGGCGAATCCAGTGTATTCAGAATATGATGGTCTACTCACAGTTCTTCATATTCCTTGGTTAATCAGTGGGAATACACTTGAACCGGCTTTCAGATCATCTACACTTGAATGGTGTTTCAAGATAAAACGACATCAGCTAGTTGTACAGGTGAAAATTACCTTCATTTATATGTCTATACAGTTTTTCAAACACACATCAAAAAGTCATTTCAAGGAAGAGTACATGGCGTAGAACTCTTGTTTTTAAGTGATATTGATTTGTAAATTGCTCACTAAGGATTATTATATCATGTTTTAGAAGAGGGTAGTTCAATTACAATGACAGTTCAACTGACGAGTGAAAGCGTAAAATTTCTGTTTGTTCAAAATTCTGCATAGCAAAAGTGCTATGTAAGCTCGTTCTCTTATTCAAGGTGTTCTCTTTCTAAAGAGAATTGTGTGTCCTCAAGTTTTTGCCAATCGGATAGAACTAAAATCAATTGGCGAATGCCACAATAATTTGTGAAGACAATACTACTTACCTGTCAATTAGTAAGCAAGAAGCTGAGCGACCAGTTTTACTTTCATTTACTTTCTTGGGATTAATGTTGATGTGTTATTGGACGGCCCAATTTCGTGGATTATTTAAAGTTAGACATTAACACCGTTGGATACCGGCCAGCTCAGCGGTCTAGAGGGTAAGCGTTTGCGCGCGAGACCTATGGATCCTGGCTTCGAATCTCGTGAGACGGGGTCGTGGGTACTCACTGCTGAGTCCCGCAATAGGACGAAACGGCTGTGCAGTGTTTCCAGGTTTTCCATGGTGGTCTAGCTTCAATTGACTCATGATCTCAACTGTTGAGATTAGTGCTTAATTTATTATATCGCGTGTGTTGTTCGCCAGCTTACGTTGTGTTATCCATAGTTACTGTTATCTCTGATAGTTTGGATAGCATGTTTATTTATTGTTTAAAAGTGGTGAGGTTTTAAGAAACACTAAGCACATAATACTTAGTTGTTTATTTCTATGAAATCAAGGTTTTTTCTATTTTGAACAGAAAAGATTTCGATGCTATAATTAAGTTTATACCTTTGAATACAAGAACACTTAATCACTTATTTAGAATTCCTTTTTCCATGTTAATAGCATGATCAGTACAATTAGAGGACTTTCGTCTTTTCTTAGAAAAAAAGTCTCTTGTTGAGTTTTATTTTATGTTAGCGATGTTAATAGTCTTAATGATAGAGCACAAAAGGATAGAAATCCTTATACAACAGGTTAAAGGAAGTGAGTTAAGCCAGACAATACTTGGAATGGCAGCTCAATTAGTGGTCAGCGCATTCGACTTTCAGCTACTTGTCCCTGGTTCGACCACCACTCCACCTACTATTGTGTGGACAACTGAGTAGCATCACTAGAAGCCAAATACATGAATTTGTACCTGATGGATGAGTTGAAACGAAGGGAGAGAAAAAAGTAATTTATTAAGCGATCTACTGATCTGTTTGTACATAGACTGGAAAACTAATTCATTCATCTTTGCTTATCTAAAGACAAAACGAACGATTTCTTATTTAAAATCATATGTGTAATCTAACCCATATTAAGAAATCTATTGCCTATTGGTATAGAAGCTCAATTTTTCAAAACCATACCACTGATTTACAAATAATAAGCGAGCTACAGAGTATCACCCAGTCAGTCATAACCTTGGCACAATTATTCGCCAATCCGAGTTGATGTCACATCAGCAAAGTGCGACAAAAATATAAAGTATTTTTTATTTCATGAATTCATTCTCAAAGCACATCGTTTATGTATAATCATTTTGACTATTACTGATACTGTTACTACTTCTACTATTCTGACATTTGTCTTGCTATTGTGGTGTAGCAACTTTAGCAGATGCACGCATGTACCAAATTTTATGTTGCTTATGACTACTATTCTTCGAGTACTAGTAGTGATACAACTTTTGGTTGTTTAAGCTGAAACTGACAGTATGAGTTTCAAACCTACTATAAATTAGTATAAAGCCGAGTGTTTTAATGAACCAAACCACTGTTCCCAAGTTTGGATGACGGCATAATTTTTCCATAGGAGAATATAGACTAATCAAATTGTCTTCACTTTTTTTCTCTTCTAATCCGTTTTCTTTTTCATCATTCCACAGCATTTTCACTTACCACCTTCTCTATCCGATACAGTAAATAGATCCAATGCACCGGAAGCAGTCTTCACATGTTCCAAATTGCACGAAAATCAGTTAGAATTTTGAATTTGCCTACTACTATGGAAGACAAAGGAGAAAAAATAAGCATACTTATTTATTTGTACACTTTATTGAAATAAATTCTCATATTAAGTCGATTATTCTTTCTAATTGTGGTGTCGTTACTTCGCTTACTTGTAGACTGACTGTTGTAAATATACATGTGTGTTTACTATGACTAAATACTAATTGATAATATCGTGTTATTTCTAGTCCATTTTACTGCTCCTTTTCCACCGATCACGTGACTCAACATCATGATACTCCTAAGACTAGGAAAATATGACGTTGGTTACTTGTTATTGTTACTAACTTGTCAATCACGTACAGATTCGTATAATTAGCTTTTAGTTACAGTCAAAGTGTGGTAGATAGTGGTACTACCCGGTTGCTCAAACCAAAAAGCTTCGGAGTAAGTTTAAATCTGCAACTTAGTGACTTAAGGTTGAACACATTAACGATTGATACAGATTAGTTGGCTAGATGACATTTTGTTTATTTATTTCTATTTAAACTTATAAACATTGGTACAAGAAGGCACTAAATATGTGTGCGCCTCACAAATCAGTTGATTTGTGTGAGCTCTGAGATACTGCCCGGTCGTCCAAACCGAAGCAGATGGTTTTCTTAGGGCACCAATCCCCAAATTCACATTAACACCAAAATATTTTGTTTAGTAAATTGTTCTTTGCATTAGAACCTCGTCTTCTTTGTCATTCCGATAAGGTTTTTTAAATAAACATTTTTACAGGGACATAGTTGTTAAATTGATTGATACCTGAATAGCAACCAATATACTATAATTTGTCTAGTTCTCATTGCTGCTGATCAAAGTGCAATGTGGTCACACCAGTCTAAATGATTGTATATCGTGTACAGGTTGTTAAGAAAAAAACAGTATACATGAAAGGGTGTATTATAAGCGGTGGTTAACAAATTTGACTTCCCAACTCACCTAGTTAAGTTTGTAGAACCCAATAGCATCATCACTCCTCAAATTAAGAAACATGTAGCTTAAAGTCAAGTAAATAAATCTTTACCTAATAAATTAAAAGCATATTAACAATCAAAATAGGGAAATATCTTTTATACGGTTACAATTCAAAGAATATTACTCGATCCATTTATTTCAATTTAAACAACTCAATTGCAATCAAGTACACGAATGTGTATACAATAACTGCTGTCATATTAGATTCCTTCCATTTTATTCAATAATCAATGTATTACTTAAACATTGATAATAAATATATTTTTGTGATATTCCAATGAATGGGAAATTGTATTTCTGATGTTTGGGAACTTAATTGTTGCTAATACCATTTCCTACTCATTAGAATATAACATAAAATATGTTATTAACCTTCTACTCATTGCTCAATTTACTTGAAGCTACTAAGTTTAACCTTGGCATTGATACCTACAAACATGAGAATTAAGTTGTAGAAAGACTATATTAGGTGTTAATCTTAGATGTTGTTAGGACCGTTATTAGCTATAATTCAAAAAATCCTATCTTAATCCTAGTTCCTAGCTTAATAAATCATTCATTTGCTTTTAAAGAGTTTTCTAATTAGCCGTAACGATTATCACTTGAAAGTCATTCAGATTGTATACTTAAGATTCACCCAATATTAGTGATTTTATATTTAACTATTGTTTATAAATGATATACTTTTCTATTTGCTTGTGTTCTCATTTTGTCGAATAGTTATTTCTGGAGATTGTTGCTAATGGTTACCACACTGTAGTTGTTTGTTTAAATTATTTTTTGACAAACAGAGTGTTTTATTGTTTGGTTTGATTAATTTAATAAAAATAGGACCATTTTTCATTATGTTTTGTTTACTTATTAGTTAGTATCGCTTTTTTTGCATGCAATTATTGACTCACTAACCAATTGTAAATAATAATTTATGGAGTATTAGCTGGATGTTTTGTTAGACTTTCTTAGTGGCTGGAATGCAGGTTCGAATTCTCACTTCTGCTTCATAAGCATTCACACAAATAGTTAGTCAGTCAGTCAGCTACAACGTAGGACCAGGCACATACATGCATCGGTCCAAGTTGCCATACCTCATTAACACAACAAGATGAACACCGGATTCATAAAAGTAGTTAATTCAGAGGTGGTAATGTATAAAAGAAAGATTGTAATAAGGATATAGTACAGGAAGAGAGAATTAGTTAGTAGAAAGAAAGATATGAAGCGATTTTAATCTCTTAGTTTATGGGAGGACAGAGAGTGTATACACATGCGCGATTGTGATCGATTCTGAGCCATGTCACCAAGAGTGTCCAACCATTGGTTACGATAGTCATGCGGACTCCAACCAAGTAGTCTGCATCTACCAACATGGCTCAGACTAGAAGTTAGTGACTTTGTGGACTGATGCCACGTTTTGGTTTGGCTGCCCCTAACTTTCTTCCAACCATCCCGAACACCGGTTAGCATTGCACGTCGTGGTAATCGGTGTTCGGGCATACGTAACATGTGGCCCAACCATCTCAGTCGATGAAGATTCACAACCTCATCAACTGATTTACCATCATTCCCTAATACCCTGCGTCTAACCTCACTATTACTTACCCAGGAGACACCACACATAGTGTGTCTCAAAATCTATTGTTCGGATGAGTTATTGCAAACAATCCGTAACTAAGAGTTTTATTCAATTATTCAACTTGAGTGTATTGAAATCCAAGGAATAGGCAACGCGGATCTATTCATAGTTTATAATTATAAGTTAGTGATAAATGACCTTAACCCCGTGATATATATATATACATGTATTCTATCCACGCATAAATATTAACACTGCACAGTTATACATAAATGTCTTGGGGAACATGCTTTTTTTCCTTTATATACAACAATGTTAAAGCTTATTCAGCCAGTATAGCTTTTTCACACTTAGTTTAATATAACCACCAATAAATTAAGAAATGTAGGAAATCTACTTTATAAAATTTATCAATCGTTCTCAATCATAAACTTTACTTATCAGTATAGGGTTATGGAGTTTGTTGTGTTTAAACTGATATCATGAATGTTAGACCACCATTGAAAATCTAGAACCACTGGATGACCGTTTCGTCTTAGTATGGGACTCCTGAGCAATCCTCATTCACTATCCCGCACTCGGAACTCGAACCCAAGACCGGTTTCACTCACGAGCGCTTAACCTTTAAACCACTGAGCCGACATTTGAAAGTGCTAATGTCTAGCTTCAACCAATCTATGATATTGCACAACCGTCCACCCTTGTCTTCAGTGAATAACTGCCTAACTAGGACGAAACGATTTTCCAGTGCCTCTGAGTTTCATTAGTAGTCTAAGATTGATCCATTCATGATATCAATTTAAACACTTTACCATTTATCACTCTCGAGATGGAATTCCTATGAGTTAAGAAATCTTAATTTTATAAATCAGTCGTTTTAATTGAACATGGATGTTTTGTTTTCTTTTTTGTAATGATCATGTGATATAACTAGTTGAAGTAGTTGGTTAGTGAATGACGATGTACCAACTGTGAGAGAAAGTGAGCGAGATCTCAGCATTTTTGTCAGCATCTTTTAACCAGTTGAGAATACTTGATACTATATGGAGTTTTAAAACCAGAAATTAACATTATTTGTAAAGCTAAGATTTTAAAGAAAGTATTAAATACGTTTAGTTACCATGGTATAACACTAATACGATCAAATGGTTTCTGTGTAATTTATGATAATAATTATTCACTTCACTGACAGTAAGTATACTGAATTCATGGTTTAAGGCATTAAACTATTATAATGTGAACAGGTTTTGAATATTAGTCGTCTTGTTGAATGGTGTACACAATTCAATCATCCTGAAGGTGTAGTTTTTTCTTTGAAAAAATTTGTTACATCAGAATTTTGTATACTGTGTCACTAGTAGAAGTTATATGTATATTCGACTTTAAACTACACTAGTTGTTTGATGATGATGGCTAACAATATACGGTTGCCGAGGCTAAAGTAATTACGGTATGATGTTAAAACCAACTGCTTACTCATTGAAAGCCCATTTTTGCCTTATATAAATAGCATTCACATATATACCGGGTTTTTGATATTGTCTCTTTTCAGTAAAATCTCTACACAAACTTATCGTGTAAACAGATTATGTCGTATACAACTGAGAACGATTCATCTGATCATCCGCATCCATGTGATGAGCATATATCACCTGGCGATGAGGATGATGGTGGCGATTCTAGTCTTACTTTACCTGCTGAAGCACAGTATGATCCAACTTTGACTGGAGCAGAATATTACCAAACAGGTGGTTATTGGCATGCTGGAACACAAATGATGGATTGTTTATTTCAAACTGATCGGATTGCAGATGTGGCTTTTGATCCTTTAGAAGAATTAATCTGGTGTGTGACACGTACAGTAAGTTAGTAGTTTTAATTCAAAAAAGATATATATATATATATATATATATATATATATATATATATATATATATATATATATATATATAATCTGTTGGTCTGTCAACTAAGGCTTTTTTAATTCACCTAGAATTATTGTACATTTTTTGGTGAATACTTTTCAGGGTCAAATGAGTGCATTCTATTCAACTACCATGGAACGTTATATAACGCTTACTGTACCGTTGATTTCGGATGTGAATTCACTTGAAACTGTCACACCGTATAATGGATTGAAGCAAGTCTTTCCTTCACCTCGTCCAATGGAACATTCTGTTTTTGTTTTGGCTAATAATGCTTTACATGCTTATACAAAAATGGGCAGACCATTAGCTTCTGTTGTGTAAGTTTAATTGGATTACAACCAGTATTTTGTTGAAATCTTGATTATATGAACCTGTATTTTTAGTCGCAGGATTGAATTGTATTTTTCCATCTTTGGTTTGTTTCATTTTTATATTTTCTTTCTGTCTTCAAAAATACAGTAAGGCATCCATTAGTGCTTCACTGATAATCGAATTCATGATTTTCAGACTTGGCGCTTAAGACTTCCAGCGCCAAACAATTTTTTCAAATTTGTTTTTCATAGACCAGAACAAATGTTCAACGTTTTGGTAATGTGGTCTGATC